GGGGGGGTGAGTGCATGCTTGTGTGTGTTTGTGTATGCTTATGTGTAGAAAAAGGAATGAGAAGTTAACCTCCCTGTTTCCCTCTAGTCTGCAACTTGAAGCTTTTAGTGAACTGGACACTAAGGGTGACGCTCCATCTTGATCTCTCATAGTAAGTCTGTATCGACCTCACCAGAACAATGACAAAAATACAGTACATTCGAACATGACCCAACAGCCACCTCTATAAGATAATCACCTGTACAAACGGCCACTTCCCATATTTTCTCCATTACGTTTTTAAATATTAACATTACACTGTGTAAGACATCCACCTGTCCAATATAGCCACTCTCTTTTCGGCAATGAATGGCCGTTTAAGAAAGTTTCGATTTTATTTTAATTTTTTTAAAAATATCCTCGAATTCGACCACTGAAACAGCTGCTGTTTTGATAATAGCAATTAAGTGTTTGGACGAGGTGGAATCAGGCGCTTGTCAATTTTTGGGCATTTGGAGTTATTGGTATCATCTTAAAGTTTGTTCCTCTGTCTTACTTTAGATTTTAAAAAATATCTTTTTGTCTCGAATACAAGTCGAGATATTTGCGAATGAAGAAAGTGGGGGTCACCTGGTTTCAGAGATAAAATTAGTAAGAAACTAGAGGCCACAGTATAGTTATAACCTTAGCTTGAGAGTCCTTGGAAACTGAACACTTAAATTTTTTATGCCTTTAATAAACGTTTTTCCTCTAAAATCCACCCAGAAATGTGTTCTTAATTCGACAACAATGGTGTTAGGCCAAAACCCAAAAATTGGACAAAAATTATTTTGACGAGCGCATGATTTCACGACACTGTCCCACGTACGTTTCTGAGAACAACACTGACAGAGGAGTTGTTAACATACACAAACAGAAATGGATAAAGGAAATACAAAAGAGAATGAATTTCCAAATGCATTGTCATGCACTTTTCTCTCTGCAGGTGATGGAGAGGGCAATGTTGGAGATCAACATCAAGTACAGAATGCCGAACATGAAGGTGGTGGGCCGCTGCTGCAAGACGAACATCACCTCCAACACCGCTTTCAGGGGCTTCGGCGCGCCTCAGGCAACTTACATTGTTGAGTGTATCGTGGACGACGTTGCTGCTTTCTTAAAACTGGAGCCCAAAAAGGTTCATTTCAGTCTTATACTACCTCAGGTTGTTCGGTTTTGATTTGGTTGCTGTACGCTTGTTTGTTTATTTGTTTGTTTTTTAGAAGACACCTTAGAAAGTAGGTTGCCTTTTTCTTTTCCCAACGTGTTATTTTATTCTCGCAAAAGGGGGG